AATTAAAGTTCACTCTTTCTGTTGTACATTTCTGTAAGTTTTGAAATATTCAATGTTATCTTTACCATTATACTCTCATACAACAGCAGTACCCATCCTTTTTGGCACCAGGGACCAGTCTCATGGAAAACAGTTTTTCCACAGACTGTGGAGAGAGGGGTGGGGTATTGTGGGTGAGAGGGGGTGTGGTGTGGAGCTCAGGTGGTGATGTCTGGCCCATTCCTTAACAGGCCACAGACCAGTAATGGGCCGCAGCCCCTGGGGGTTGGGGACTGCAGCCATACAGTATATGTTCACTGCCCAAAAAATCCCCTGTTCTTCACTTATAAATCTCTGTTCTCTTTCTCCAGAAACCTTGGCAACTATTACTATTTTTACTGTCTATAGTTTTGCCTTTTCCAGAATGTCATATAGTTTAAATCGTATATTATGTAGCTTTTTCAGACTAACATTTCCCTAATCAATATATATTTAAGTTCCCTTCATGTCTTTTCTTATGGCTTAATAACTCACTCCTTTAAATCACAGAATAACATTGCATTGTATGAATGAACCAAACGTTGTTTTCCTAATAACCTCCTGAAGGCTAGCTTGGTTGCTCCCAGTTTGGATGATTATAGGTGATGCTGGTGTAATCATTCCCATGGAAGTTTTTTGCATGGACTTGACTTTAGGTGCCTCTTTTAAAGTTAACTTTGCATTCTAATATTTGGTTCAAAAGAAGCTAGAACCTACAGGGAATACAACCATCATTGCCGTTAATATGATGTAGATCAGTAACTCTTTTCTTAGAAACTTTGCGTATCTTAGAGTAGGTATTTAGACCCAAGTTTTACTTCTAGCTTTGCTTCTTTATTAGCTATATGTTTTTAAAGTTTTTCTTTAACTTCTCTAAATCACAGTGTCCTCAGTTGTAAAATAGAGCTATTTAAAACTTTATCATAAAGGTTATTGTGCTGCTTTATGTGAAGAGTAGGCATTATCATTCTGATCTTATTTTACTAGGCTGATAATTTTTTTCTCCTTTTGTCTTTTCCCAGAGATTTCTTACAGTACCAGAAATAGAAAAGGACTGCCAATGTACACTTGAGTATGGACTGGAATGGGTGATCAGAATAGAGGCAGAGGGGAGAGTGGAATTAGGGCAGCACAGAAAATAAGAGCCAAACTTATTTAATATTTGGCCAGGTGTCTTGATTTTGTAGTGGGTTTTTGGCCTAAAAATTGCGTACCCTCTCTGAGTTTTGTAAAATTTGATTACAATTCTTACAGTTTCTGGTCTTAGATCAGGTAGCCAACAAGGACTTAAATGCATTTCTTTTGCCTCAATCCATCCATCCATTTGCTCATTTATTCAGCTGGCCAGCCAGTACTTATTGGGGTCCAGGTAAATCTAAGCAAAGCATTGGCTCAATACTGAGATTTTAGAAGTGAAGCCTGGTTCCTATCTTTAAAGAACACATTGTCCATGAAAGATATTACTGCCTTTCTCCGTATTTAAGATGATAGTGTAAGGACAGGAGAGAATGTAATAATCAAATGATGAATGATTTGGATCATATGGCCAAAATTTGTCACTTTCTTTTGGTTTTTTGAAACAATTCAGGGTAAAGAGAGAGGAATAAACAAAAATTCGATGGTATGCATATCTGAATCATCCTCATCCATTCTCAAATTCAAGTCAGTGGACACAGCTCAAAGAATCTCTGATTTCATGAGCTCCCTTGACCATGCTGTGAATGGCATGTATGTACTGTGTCATGTAATATTCAAGGACATTAGTATTGTTACTACAAGTGCTTTCCAACATTTTTCATGTCATGGCACACACAGGGCATGGTAATATTTTTATGGCCTTCCAAAGTAAATGGACAAGGCAGCTTATAGCCAAATACCAGCCTGGGGGTTCTGCTGCCTCGCCTTGCCCAGCATCCAGAGAGTTGAATGGAATGAGCATCTCTGCATACCTGTAACATGTCTGCACTATCCAGATACACTACAGTTTGTACACTCCGTATTAGATTATCCCCAGGTTGTGCCGCCTTTGCTGACTCAGGGCCTCATTAATTTCTTTTTCTTATGAATAGTTTAGGCATGTCAATTGTAGTGGCTACATGATATGTTTTAGGAAGACAATTTATGGAATTTAGAGGATCCCAAAGGAAAATACTAGAGTAAAGTATTACGAGAGGTTGGAGACAGCTTTTTGTAATGAAAATAGTCTGGCTCAGGAATTGGTAGTCCTGGGCTTCATTCAGTTCTAACGTAGTCACCTTTGGCAAATCACTTTTCTTTGAGCCTCTGTTTCGTTATCTGTAAAATGAAGGGATTTGAACAAGATAAACTTCAAGGTACTCTCTAGCTCTAAAATGCCATGATTTCATATTACCTATAAACCTTTGCTGTGGAGTTAACTGCTTTTCATGGAGTGTTTCCTGTGTGCTGGGCACTCAGTAAATGGCTTCCCGTGCAAGCCCTAGGGCCAGCTTCCTGAGGCTCCTCAGATCAAAAGTTACTGCTTAGATGCTGGAGGAATTAAAAAAAACTAACGTGCTTAATGAAGAAAAGAGAATAGGTACTGGAGAAGGTATCTGAAAGGAATAAAGCTATCTGTAATAATTTAGTCTTTCAGATGTTTTTGAGTATCTTTGAAATGTTAGTAAAATGATAGGCTTTGCAGTTAAGAATCTGCCAACTAGCTAAACACCTCACAATTGTAGCTGGCAACTCTGGCAGCTCACTTCTAGAAACACTCACTGCAGATACATCAACTATCTAAGCATATTATACAGAAGCCAAATCTCCATTGTCCAACAATCCTTTTAGGAACTTTTCTGTCTTTTTCCACAGTTACCTAAGTCCTTTCTGTCTAGCTATGTATTGGGTGGATGAAGCTGCATAGTTGGAGAATAGCTTAGAAGATATGTAGGAATGATAGATAATCAAGGACTGGTTGCATTATATTTCATTTCAAAAAATAAAATGGTAGCATTTGTTCATTCAACAAATGTTTATTGCTTATTTACTATATGTCAGATATTTTTCCAACTCCTGACCTCAAGTGATCCTCCCACCTCGGCTTCCCAGAATGCTAGGATTATAGGCATGAGCCACTAAGCCCAGCCATGTCAGATATTTTTCTAGGAGCTAGAAATTCAAACCTGAGAGGTTCCTGCTATAGTCAGACCCAAATAGATATATATACAGACAGACATGCATACATAGATACATATGAATGATACAGTGTTATCAATCTTAGAGGGTTTTTTCAATAAATAGTTACTTATTTGTAATGTTCAAAACACATAAATTCTCCCTTCCTTGCTTCCTATTTTCCATCAGCAAATATTTATTGAGTCATGTGTCAGATACATTAAAAAGAGGGCCAAAACTAAGTCATGCATTTATATATCAAAAAATACTTCCAATTAAATAAAAATCCACTTAATAATATACTCTTAAGGAAACATGGTATTTCTGATACATGTACAAGAGAATACATATCACATACATATATATATACATGTATATATTTTTATCTTTATATATACATATGTATGTATAAATATTTTATCTTTATATGTGTATATATAATTTATATATAGAAAATACTTGCTTGTTTATGCTCAAAAAGGATACTTGAAACTAGAGGGTAAATAAGCAACAGAAGTCTGTGTTTGTGTCTACACATATGTACATTTGTGAGTATGTAGGTGTGTGGGAGATTAGGAAGGAAAGAAGGGAGAGAGGAAGGGAAAGAAAAAAGGGGGGAGAAAGATAAGGAAGGAAAAAAATAGTGGTCTTAGAAGGAACCACAGTAGTTAGCAATTTTTACCTTAACTCCCACTGGCCCATCTATTTTTTCTGTCTTGAGCTGTAGTAAGTACACCATTCACTCCATCAACTGACCTATCATTGCAATTGACCACTCACCCAAATCAAACAAAAAAGAATAATTTCAGTTTTAAAAATACAGAAGCATCCACAGATGTTTGAAGAAGTGGTACTTATATGTTCCAACAACTGTGATAAAGATAACTTGCTGAAAGTCCTTCCAAAGCAGAAAAAAAATTTAAAATCTCAGGGAATTTTTTTCTTTACTGGCCAGAAACTCATTCCAAGAAGTACCAGCCTGTCTCATTTCAAAATGCTTCCCTTACCAAGGAAGCGGAAGCGGTCATATTCTTTCCCACCAAACTATGAGTGAATTATAATTATTCTACCTCTTGTGGGACAGTGAAGCAGCAAACATCTGCTATACTAAATCAAAACCCCACGAATGAAACTATACCACACTGTGAATCATACCTGGACTCAGATTAAAGGATCTGTGTTGTGTTTACCTTTTTCTTTATTTTCTTTGTAATCTGAAATATGGATTTGTTACCTTTGGCCCCATATTCTGAGGGCAAATATATGGATTCCATTCACTGACTCCTGCCTTAACACTGAAAAATCACAACTTTAAAGCAAATGGACAATAATAGTTAATAACAATTTAATAACAGTTTTTGTTTGGTTTATTATTCCTTCACCACTTCACCATTTTCTTTTCCTTTGAAAAGATGGTACAAGTAAGAAAATGCTGAAGTGCACAATATAAGAAGTGAGATTCTTTAGTTGTAGTTTCAATAACAAAGGAGCAAAAAAGAACATTTTAAACTTTATTTCCAAAAGAAACAAGCTTCACAACTACTATCACTGATCATAATTTTATATATCATTGGCTATATGGTATTACCAAACTGTTCTAGAGCAGTGGTCCCCAGTTTTTTTGGCACCAGGGACCGGTTTCGTGGAAGACAATTTTTCCATCCATGGTGATGCGCCCAGTTCCTAGCAGCCTATGGACGGGTACAGGGCCACAGCTTGGGGTTGGGGACTGCAGTTCTATAGTAAGGAAAGGAAAATAGTACTTCAATTCTAAATTAAAGCTGTGAAAACATATAAAATAGTCTACTTGTTTTAAATAATTCTGTGTCTTTGTCTTTATCTTTTAGAGAGCTGAAAGACAGACTCGAATTATGGATTCAGCTCAATATGCAGAATTCTGTGAAAGTCGACAATTAAGTTTCTGTAAGTAAGCATTTAACTTAATTATATGTATAAGAGATTGTGTATTATAGATGTACTAAAGTGTGACACAATCTGTTTCTTAGCAATTGGTGGATTTAATAATTTGCATAGTATAACTGTTACAGAAACAACCTACATTGTGGGGGAACCTATAAAAGATTTTACCACGTTCAACTGTTTTGCAATTAATAGTGTTCAGGCCGGGCGTGGTGGCTCACGCCTGTAATCCTAGCTCTCTGGGAGGCCGAGGCGGGCGGATCGTTTGAGCTCAGGAGTTCGAAACCAGCCTGAGCAAGAGCAAGACCCCGTCTCTACTAAAAATAGAAAGAAATTAACTGGACAACTAAAAAATATATAGAAAAAATTAGCCGGGCATGGTGGCGCATGCCTGTAGTCCCAGCTACTCGGGAGGCTGAGACAGAAGGATCGCTTGAGCCCAAGAGTTTGAGGTTGCTATGAGCGAGGATGATGCCATGGCACTCTAGCCTGGGCAACGCAGTGAGACTCTGTCTCAAAAAAAAATAAAATAAAATAATGTTCAGTAAGTTTTAAAGAGTGTTAGTAATACAGAGTGTCATGTTCACATTACTTTTAGTCAGAAAAATTCCATTTTTCTTAATATTTCCATTTGAATTTCTTTTATAATTTCCTAGTCATATTTACACTAGTATTTCTTATTGTGTTTGACTCATAGAGGACTCTAGTAGTACAGTCATGACATTCAAAATCTCCCAATATTAATTATAGATACCAAACGTTTCCTTTATGCATGCTCGTATTACCACAAAGGAACATGTCTGTAGTCTCTTCCATTTTTGTCTAACATCCTGCTGTGGCATGCATTCAATATTAGCCAAATTCATTAGTACAAGTTCTCATAACACTAATAACCTAGTGGTAAAATTAGTACTTTCACATCACGACATACCAGCTTATTAAAAGTACTTAAAGACTCATGATAATGAGCTGGATTATGTAGCAAAATATCCTTACAGCAACAGATCAGTGATGACTAAGGTTCTTGGGGTAAAGGTCAAAGAGAAAGTGTGATGAAAAGTCCAGTTAAAAATATGACAAAGTAGCACATGACCCTGGTCTGAGGAATTATAGAAACAATGGTGTCTTTAAATGAAAAGCTATTATGTGATCACAATAACAGCATATTTGATTTGGAAAAAGAAAGTGAGAGCTTCTTTATATATTACAAAGTGCAAATAAATGACACATTTCAAGTAGTGTCCCGTGTAAATGTCAGTAAAATATAGGAAAATATGTTTTGGAAGATTTTCTTTCTAACTAAATAGACTTTGCAATCTGACTAACAACTTGGCATCATACATCTGTGAAGCATTAAGTAAATGGCACTTCAGATCATGGCAATTTCAGCAAATGAGAGGTTTTTGTATTATAATTTTTAGGTTTAAAAATGGCCTTCAAGTCTTTATAAGTAAAAATCTCCAGTTTAGAAAGAACAGTTAGTACAATTTAACTATTTTTTAAAATCATATTTTAAATTTAAT